TTTTTTTTTTTTTTTTTTTTTTTTTTTAAACACAATTAAACAGCATTACTAATATTTTTTCCTTATTAATTTGATAACTTGGACTATTACATGGTAAAAATATTAAGTAGGACTATCAATAAATTCTTAACTTCATAGGCATGGAGCCTTCCCTTCCGCCCATTTTAAGATTTTAGTCTAGCAAGTACACTGGCAGTTCCTGACACTGTTATTACTGATGGCCAGCTGTATTTTACCCCAAATTTTTCTTTTTCATGCATTCCAGATTCTAGGTCCCTATCTGCAATAAAACATCTGCAATAACCTCTGCAACAAAAATTAGACCAGAAAAGAACCATTCTCAAGGCTGCATAATACAATAGATATGCCCCAGGTGGAATCTGGTGGATCTCTGTTATAAGAGGAATGACAGAGGAGGAAAGGAAGGCTAGCAAGAAAAACACCTCATGAGTTCTTTTTTTTCCTTATCATTCTATTACAAATATTTTCCTAGTGCAACAACATATTGCATAAATCTATCTCTACCAATCCTAAAATAGCCTTTTAAATGTCTTTGTCCCTAAGTAAAATTTAAATTAATGAAGCTCACTTGAATAGTAACAAATTTCTCCATGGTGTACATCAACAGGTACTTCAATGTTTGAAAACACTCTCCCTCTGGCTTTTTATTTGCTGTACTTAGAGCATTAACCACAGACCTGTTAACACATCTTGGAATGGTTTAATATTATATCAAAATATTTAATTCGCTTTGGATTTCAATTTAAAATTTTTCACAGGCGGTAAGTTTGCTTAAGATAAATAAAAATTAAAAAGTTAACATACCATTACTTTTTTTAGCCTCTTTGATAGAGAAAATTAATTTGTATGTTCAGTATATATGTAATCATTCCAATTACTGTGATCCATACTCTGAACAATTTATACATACGAAGAACAAAACAGGACCTTCACATCGTGATCAAAAGACATTTGCTAACTGCAAATGTTGTAAGAGTCTGAGTAGCTATATATCATGCTGAAGTAGGAGAAATCACTTCCAAAACATAAAATGTGGCAAATTTCTCACTGAGCTCAGCAGAAGAGGAAACCTAGCTCTACAGAACTGATCAGAATGTGTTAAATCACAGGAGACTTCCATCTGACTTGTGACCACTTGAAACTTGTGAAATACGCTGTGCTCATAACGAAGCCACCATGAGAGTAACATGGCATATCATTCAGGGATAATCTAAACTGTAGACATGACTGCTGCTGCCTCAGTTTTCATCCAACGGGAAAAAGCTATCAGGCAGTCCAAAAAGTCTGTTTCAAGGGCAGAGATCAGTAAGCAGCAAAGTTGGTCCTGGTGACTTTTTGAGTCTTAATTATTCAGATATTAAAGAACAGGAGGGTGTCCCTTGCTGCAGACTGCTGCAGAAGCTGATCTTCCAGCAAATAAAATCCTACAGAGCAATCATCCCTGGATCCAAGCTTGCAAAGGAAACGAAAGGGACAGGGGCTACCACCCTTGAGGCAGTTTTTGCTACACAGTAAGTGGAGTATGGTACCAAACTGAACAGTCTGGTCATTCAAAAATGGAGACAGTCTTGTAACTCATCAGCTTCTTCACCCCAAAGGACCAAAGATAATACATCTATTGTTGAGTGAAAAACTATCCTCATTAATGTCCTCATAAAGCCATAATGGAAGGCCAGGCATACAAACATGAAAGTCATTCACACAAATGGAATAATTTTGATCAGTGATGCTCCTGTACATTCAGATGGACAGCTTGTCAGACATGCATCAATATTTGCATGAATGCTCATTCCAGTGACAATAGGGCACTTCAGTCATTTGGATCTACAATACACTTTGGACATTGGCTCAGACCCATGCAGAGGTAGTAAGATAAGCCAAGAGTACAGCCAAGTGTACAGGAATGAAGTGGAAACAGGCAAACAGTTAAATTCAAAATGGCTAAAAAAGGCTTAGCAGGTATAATGTTTTGTACTGGTGGTAGCTTAGATATTCCTGAACAGGCAAAACAGTCTGATTGTAGCAAAAAACTATGTTATACTGAAGAGACGGGCGATTTTGGGGGGCTAGAATATAGCCTAACACCAATTTGTGTAGAGACTTTCTTGCCAATCCCATATCAACAAAAAGATATGTAAATTCAGTCATACCATTAATTACTGCAGATGGAAAATTGGAACAAGACAACATACAATGAAAGGATAAGGAGTGTTATGCTGAATAAGAGAGAATATAGACAGGTACAGAAATTTCCTAGGAAAGAACGTAAAAAAATTAACATTAACTTGTTTTCACTTGGATGCCGCCACAGCAAGGACATTTAAATATAGTTAATTGGATGCTAATATGATTTATAAGCAAGAGAAAGCAATAAAATGAGGAGCTGAGCATAAGCAAAGTGGGAAACATAGGCTGAAGAACCATGAGACAACTTACAGAAATCCCATTTTTTTGTGCCTGGCCAGCAGTCATCGAAAAACTGCCTACTTCATGTGTAAGATATTACAAAACATCCAACCACAGTCTGTTACTCTTCTTTACATAACCTGGCAATAAATCATGTATCCTGCATGTCTGGAATGGTCTGGGATCTTGCTGCCTCTCCACCTTTAATTATTAATGTAACAATGCCATCATTGAGGGCAAGCATTACTAAAAACTTGCATAAATGCAGACATGAAGCAAAAATGGCACTAAAGCCTCAGAGAACATGGCATTCAACTCCATCATGGTAGGCACTATTCAAGGCAGTATTCGTTTGCTCCCAAAGGTCAACAGTGAGATCATCCTTTTAATCACAGCAGTAACATGGCTTCCACCATTCCCAAACAAAACTCAAAAAACCTCCCACCTTAAAGCTGGGAAGTTGCAAGTACTGGTCAATTATAAGGACAGTCTAAATTAAGCAGCTTTCTAGCTGTTTGTTGTACTACCTATGACTTTAACTTGCTGATTCATAGAATTTTGTGAATTGACATTCACAAATGTCACTATCATTAGGCTAAGCTGTTGGATGCACATAATCCTGTTCAGGCTCTAAACATTCAGTGAAGTATCAGAGCGGCTGGGGATAAACAGATCAAATTTGGATTTACAGGTAGTAGGCCACTACCCCAAAAACATCTATTTGTATAAATCTTGAAAGATTTATTTTTCATGAATCTCAAGCTTAAGAATTTTCAGTTTTACATCTAAACCAAAAATTTTTGTAATTACCAACTACGTCAGACACAGACTCATGCTATTTGCTATCAGTGATGCATAGAAGCTGAAAGGGTTGATGCATAGAAGATGACCGTTGGAGAGTTTTTTAATCAATGCAATGAGGGTTTCTTTGTAAAACGATCAGGAGAACAGAACTGGAGGTGACCAGAGGCACCCAACATGCTTTATTTTAGGTACTATGCTTAGCATTGTAAATATTGCTAATTAATTGGCTGTGAGACAGAATGGTAAAAAATTAGATTTCTGAAGTCTCCTTTCTCATCTTAGTAGCAGTAATAGTCTAAATGGATCATGTCAGGAGCAGAAGAGCTAATGCACAAATAAATGCTAGGAAACCCTTTATGTTGGTAACATAGGCTAACCCTGACAGATTTCCTACATACTCAGACCTGGGATCAGCAAAATTTCATGATTAAATTTTTAAACTGCCAGCAAATCCTCTAGGTTCAGCTAAGCTACTGAAACTAACATCCTTGAACTTTTTTTTTCCACCTAGGCAAAAGACACAACTAGTATCAAAAGTGAAATATATACTGGAGGGGAGGAGATGAGGGGAAAGACATCAAGGAGCTTACTTAATTTCAACTGACTGTGTGGATAAACCCTCTCAGAATTGGACCTATTTCAGCCAGCTACTGCAGTCCTAGGTACAGTGCTGGCTGTCTTCATAAACTATTTCTGACCATGTATTAAAGAGTGTGCTGTGAGGTAGGATGATGGGTTAGGACACCTTCATCCTAACCTCTGGATTAGGACATTCCACGGTCCAGGTATCTTCCTCTCATACTGCATTCCCTGAACTCAGAATTTCTATCTACTGTTGTTGTAGCCGATTTGCAATAGTTTATTCAAGTTGTCCCCTCTATCAGCACAAGAAAAACACATTTCCAGGCATGTCCTGATCCAGCATCCTCCAACCAAATTTAGGGAATAGAGTGTGAAGGGAAAACATACAATATCCTGACCTTTATTTTTAAGAAACCCCCAAGCTAAGTAACACAAGAATGTCATGACAAGCATAACAGAATAAAAACACAGAACAGGTCCGAGGAAAGGAGCACCAACTCAACTGTCCTAGGGGCTTGTCAATATTAGGACCCTCCCTCTACACAGTTAAGAAAGTTTCAGGTAAGAATGATGTCAAAGAATATACAGTGCTGAGGTCATATGAGTGAATTCATACCCCCCTGCTGATGGCTGCAATGATGAATCCACTGCACAGGATTCTGTCCATCAGCAGTGATGTACACACATGATATCGGAAAATCCTTGTCACAGACTACATACATGACCTCTTTATATTGGATAAGGATAACAGGCAATGGGACTTGATGAGAAGGTTGGGTAGGCATGTGATTCCCAGGCAGGCAAACTGTTTCATGGAGTTGATGAGGGGACCCCGAAGTGCAACAGCTGTAGGCTGCCTGGCAGGAAGCCTGCATGCAGAAACAGAGACTGACTGACAAACAATTTAACCTGTTACAAGGAGATTCCTTTAAGGAATAACAAAGCCCTTGACATTTCTAGTTAAGAAAGATAAGCCAAAGATAAAGGTTTGAAAGAGAAGATTCAACTGATATTTTACCTTTTCACCTTTATCGCCTTTCTGGCCTGGCAAACCAGCTACACCTGGCAATCCTGCTTCTCCCTGGTTTTAAAAGAAATCAAAAATCAACACAAAAGCAGATCCAAAGTATGTTGGTGTTATTTTTTTTTGTTTGTTTGGGTTTTTTGGGTTTTTTTGTTGTTTGTTTCCTTTATCACAAAAGTCTAACAAGCCAATGGCTCAGAATAAATATAGTGCAACACCCAGGTGAAGCACTTAAATAAAATGGTTATGTAGAAATAATTTATTCTCAAGTAAAAATATTTACACTACATGTAATGCCTAAATATAATTCTCATTTTTACCATGAATCTTTTTTTATGGTGTGTGTTCGAATAACTAAACCTTATAGACCCCTGCAACTCTAAATTAACTAAGTCTAAAAAGTACTATTTGTTAAGTGGGAAATACAAGGTAAGTACGTTACAACACTACAAATCAGTAACATATTCCTCATAACTACAAAAAAATACCAAACACCCTTTTTGGTTTTTTGATACCTAGCAGGATTAAACAGCATGATGCACTAGAAAGCAATAGGAAAACCTCATACTTTATTTGGAAAGCAGTGGCATCTCTCTCCAGATTCTTGTTGCATTCCTGGAAGTGTGTATATTTTACTGACATGAACAGTCACTGGTGATGAAGTCGTAGCAAGCAACCTCTCCTCACGTGGGCACTAAAATAAAATAGATTTTCTGACTTTTAGTCCACTTTGGTTAATAAATTAACATAATCCAAACACTATTTTAAAGTTAGTTTCTGTTTTAATATTCCTATACACACCATACTGCAGAGAAGCCACAATTGCCAAATAGAGGAAAAAGCTGTAGTAAAATGAATTCTAGACATTGTGATCTTTCTGTACTAAAATCAATGCCAGTTAAAATTGATCTGATCTACTTCTTTCTTCCAAAAGAGCCCAGACAAATGAATAAAGTCTCCTGTAATTAGAAGTAGTAAAGCAGAAAATGCCCATGGGGAAAAAGAGAGGGTACTTCTCCGTCTCATACTGAAATGCAAAATGTCAGAGTGCGTGTGAGAGGAAAACTCTGTCATTCTTTTGTAATAAAAGACTTTGGGCATGCACAGTTTGGAAACAAACAAAAATCCCTGAAGCCAGTGTTCAGAGCTGAGCCAACCTGAAGCTATACTACAGGACAAGTCAAAAGAACCTGACAAATTTCAGAAGCTCTCATCAACATGTAATGAGGTCTCCTGTGAGCTTTCTGTCAAAGAAATTCCCATAGGATTTACAGCTCAGTGTAGAAATTTGTATCCAAAAATAAATCCATTCCCTTAAATTGTTGAAAATGTAACCTTCATAACTGGTAAGGAAGTAATGAAAAAATAAATCAGAAAATGTTATGCTGGTTTCAATATGAAAGTCACTAACAGGTAGGCCACCATTTTTTACATCTCCAACATGACAGAAATTAAACTGATGGTGCTTTTAGCTATATAGTTGAATGAATGTTTCAGATGAAATTAATGGAGTCTATCCTTGATCTTTTTGTGTTCATATATAATCAGGATTTGTTTTGGTTTTGCTTTTTTGCTACTGTGTCAGAACTGTTAAATTAGTTGTATTTCTGTGCACTAAGTGGAAGCTACAAAAAAAAAAAAAATTCCAGCTGTTTCACTTACCCATGAGCTTATGAATTCAAGAGAAAGTCTGCACTATCATCACGAATATATTTTGAAATATATTTGAACAATAAATAGTTATTTAAAATTGAAATTTCCCTTGATAAATTAGATCCAGCCTCTTTCATGCTTCTGAGAACCTATCAGATGTCAGGTCCCACAGTTTTCTGCTCCTCTGTTCTTGGGTAGCTTCATCCTTCCATTATAGCTAACCTTTTCTCTCACGTCTTTGCAGATGGAATCAATTAATCCTTTTGCACTCTCTGGGTCTTTTTTGCTGACTGCAGGCTGGGTGGTGATGGTACTGCCCACTATCTCAGAGGACCGTGCTCTTACAGACTATTTATAACGAGCAGACCAGTATTTTAACATATTTTCTTAGGGTTGGTTTGGTTTGTTTTTTGTTTTTTTGTGTTTTTTTGTTTGTTTGTTTGTTTGTTTGTTTTTTTTCTCCAAATGGGCTTGATTCAGCAAAATAATCACACCTGAAACTTGAAGTATTACAATAGTTCTACTGTCTTCCAGTTTACACTGATACTGTCTATCAAAACAAAAGGGAAAAGTGAACCCTCTAAACTATATCAATGTTTTCCCTTATGTTAAACTATACACACATCTCAGCATGTGCATTATAAAGAAAGTATTCATTGAAACAAGGGAAACACCCTCAAGACCTTCCTATTTTTCTTTCCTTCCACTGTAACTCTTTCACAGGCTTTGTTTATCATCTGTAATGCTTCACTGGATGCAACTGTTATTGAAATGGCCTCTGTTATTTGACACCATCCTCAGGTCATCATAGTGATTTGTTTACTACTCTCTGAGACTTCCTCAGTTACTAATTAGATATTAATCAATGTTAAGAAATGCATTTTAAAAGAACTAGCAACACCTAGTGCCTTTTACTGAAGTTCCACTGTGCCATTTAGTTAGGCAGCAAGAAACAACATACCATGACTCCAGATAGAGGATCCATTTTTAGGAGGTAATTAATCTAACACTTCTATTGAAATTTCTTTACAACTCTAGTAAGAAACAGTGAAGCAATTTCTTTGGTATTAAGATTTACATTTTAAAAAAATAACTTACAAGGTCGGCAGATATTTCACAACATGTATCTTCTGTTGCAAGTTTTGGATTACAATAAACTGTTATGCGGTGAAGTTCAATCTAGTAAGAAATACAAAAGAGATTAATATGACATGTAAAAATGTGTTACAGCATGCATTTTCTTATCTTGGCATAATGAACTTTCTCTGTGAAACAATGTGTATTTCTGAAATGCTGAAAAGAGACAAAACCAAAACAATTACACAGCTCCTCACTTGAGGAACAAACTATGCAGTCTATTATTTTGATGTGAATCACATTTTAGATTTATCTTTATGGAAACTGCATCCCTCTGTACTGTCCTTGCTATATTACGTACGCATTTTAGCCCTCTAGACATCTACAAACCTTCTTTTCAGGAATGTAATTCTCTCCAGGAGTGAACTAGAGTAAAGGTTTGATAAGCTCTCTCTCATATACATCTTCTATTGCTTTGGACAGAGCTTTGCCTGGACTTTGCACTAAATCACCTGAAGAGTAAAATATCACAAATTCTGTACATAAGGCTTCTGTTCTGGAGAGTTTTTGGTGGACTGGTGAGATTAAAAGCATCTAATTTTAACTACCTAATCTTGCCCTTGTATGTCCCTTTCTGCATCTGTCTTGTATCTTATTCTCTCCCTTGCACTTGGTATTGAGAAAGTGACTTGGTACAGGATTCACTCTCCTGCCTTTGTCAGCTTTATTGCCATCATTTTTTCCTGAAAAATGTCGAAATCACAATTAACAACTTCCACTCAGAATTATCCAGCTCGTGCCATGCAACCAACACAAGATAAAAAGTTTGCTCCTTCTCCTGCATGCTACTTGGAAATTAGGAGACAGTACATAGATTTCAAATAAAGGTGAACTCAAGTCTTAGAAAATAAAATGAAGCATGAGCTTAGCCCCATGAAATAAGAGCTCAGAGTCAATGCCAAATTGTTTAGTGCCTCACAGGACTGATTCCTCCCACAATGCTAGCTTGCAGCTACAATGTGCTATCTTAATCTGGAACTGTACAGTGTACATAATATAGTGGTCACTATAAACTCTAAACCAGAAACCAGATGCTTTAAACCTGGTAACTGAATGTCAGCATACTTAAAAACAAACTGACATTTCCTGAAGCTTTCAAATTACTTGCTGTGAGTTCTGTGCATGAGGAAACAGAGAAGAGCATCTCTGGGACAGAACACAGCCCAGAATATTATGGAGTTGCTTTAGGTAACTCTTGGACCAAAGGCTACAGGAAACACACTTCCAACCATTTCCTAAACCCTCCCATTCTGAGGAGGGAGGGACAACTATGAACAATGTGCGCCTATTTCTGCATAGCTGAATCACCCTGGAATGTGATACAATCTTGATACAGAGGTAATTCTTAATTTTTTTGTGTCTCCCCTTTATCTAAGAGAGAAACTGTAACAGATGACTGATACAAAATTATAAATAAATCCCCTAAAAATTCAAAGAAAAAAAATACCACTGGAAGTCATCTCTAAATGTAGTAATAATATGTCTATGGTAACTATGTGGCTCTTATTCCAAAGCGAATACAGAAAAACAGACTCCTGAAACCAGGGACAGAGTTTCTATAGTTACTTTGTTAACAGCAGGTTTGTCTTAGCAGATGTTACAGCACTGAATACTGTTTAGAGAAACAGACATAAGGAATTCAAATTATGAATACACACTCAAAATTAATAATCAGTTTTGAACCTTTTATTTGCATAATTTTTTACAAAGGTGTTAGTAAGTTAGTAAGTTGTCTGGTTTCCCTGTCATACTACTCACATCTACAGGCTTATCATCTGCAGCACGAGAAGCAATCAGTGTCCTTCCCTGCAAGTCAATGGTGAATTTTTCATCAGTCTGTTTTCTCTCAATTAAATTACAATCCAAATAGAGGGAAATGATCCCCAACTGCACGCTAATACCAAGCTTATGCCACTGCCGATCAAACAATGGATAAATTTCTCGACTCTTAAAAGTGTAGTGCAGTATATTTCCCTGAGCAGATTTGGTCATATACTCCACAACCTTTTTTGTACCATCCAGAAGGACAGAGATCTGAAAGCAAAATAAAATAAAAGCAGTCATTTAAAATTTACAAGTAGAAGAATTAAACACATATATAAACTATATATAATAAAAATACTTCAACTACATAGATGGGGCAAGAATTATATAATGAAGCATTCTTCTATGTAACTTTGTAAATACGTATCAGCTATAAATTATAACATGCCTTCTTATCCTGGTCTACAGTCTTAACTCAATACATTTTGTTAAATTCCTGTCATTACTATAATAAAACATCAGTTATTTCAGAGCAGACTGTCTATTCCATATACACTGTAGCTACATTCAGTGGTGAAAAAAACACTAAGTTGTATTTGCCGTATTATATGGGGGGAAAAAAAAAAAAAAAGAAACAATGAAAAAAATAAATTAAAGGTGATTCTAACCTCAGGTGTGTCATACTGATTTAAAACTTGCCATATATACCAACGCTCTTTCTTGGTATTTCGCCGTACACGGAACGTAGCTACTAGAGAGTATTCTTCGGGAAGCCCATTTGGAAATACCTGCCTACAATAGGAGGGAAGAAAAAAAGGACTTGTTATTCTTATCCACGCAAACACTGCTTAAAAGGAATGAAGAGAAATAATACCTGTCAAAAAAAAAAGGAGCCAAACACTCACTCATACTCATACAAATTCACAGGCTTCAGTGTTCACAAGTGCCTCTTCTCAAAAGTACAGTTCAGTCTATTTATAAGAATGGCTGAAGATTTCATTAATGAATTTTTTGTTCTAACTTTTAAAAAATCTGTTATTATTATAAATATGAATATCATAAAGAGGAGTCTTAAAGAACTGCTGTGAAGTGAATGCCACACACAAACATATTTTAAAATACGACTTTTCCCAATTTATTGCTTGGGATACTGGAACAAGTTTGCCAGAGGATTTGTGAAATAATCCCCATCCTTGGAGACTTTCAAAACACAGCTGGATAGGGCTCATCATAACCTGATCTAACTTTCAAGTTGGTTCTGCTTTGAGCAGGGGATTTGATCCAGTGACCTCCACAGGCAACAGCTCAGATATCTTGAGTATAAGAACAGCTGGACTTTAGCAGGCTTGAATGAAAATAAGGAATGCATTTCTGAAGAACTGAATTGATGCTGTTTGATTTTGTTATTCCTTTCTTATCTATTTGATGTCTCTAAAAAAAAAAAAAAAAGTCTGTCTTGCTACCTTGCTACCTATATCACAGAATACAGTACAACACCACTTCTAAAAACAAAGTTTGTATTTCAGAAAAAATGAAATTAGTTTGTAACTCAACTCTACAGACTTTGGTAATCATTAAATACATACTAATTCTGTACTAAACGAATTAGGATGCACAATCAGCTTTCTTCTTTGAAGCTTATGCATTTCAAATTATTTCTTTTCTGAAACAGAGGTAAGACATGTGAAAACCACAGATGCACAGTACTCAAGACACAAATAACTAAAGTGTTAAAATTGCTGTTTACTGAAAACTGTCAGGATTGCCCAACTAGCCACATGGCAATTCCCTGAATCAGAACAGAGGAAACCTTAGGGCCCCACGTAGAACAAAAATTTCCTCTGTTTTTCTTCCCACAATCATGTGAAGTAAATAGTTTAGTTCAAAAAAACCCTACAAATAGGATTATAATTACACAGTAATGTGCTATAAAGGCTTTGTTAAAAAAATTAAAACCAAACCAAAACAAATGGAAAAAAACAGAAGAGGAAAGCACCAGCTGACAAGACAATAACCCCCCAAATCTCTTAGAAATCAGTGCACTTCAGTTAACTTAAGATCTCAGTAAAAATGCCTTCTGTGTAAGACAGCTTCTCTAAATCCTGCCAAAGAGTTTCTTTATGGACTGACACCTATTTAAGTCCCTGATGTGGGAATCACACTTCTTTGGCTTATTTCCCACAGCTGATTCCTGTTTTATCCCAGGACCAAATTGGCTGCTCTCCCACATTGTTAGTGGACCCATATGCTCTGTTGTACAGCTATAGATGTTTCAGTGTCAAAAGGCAAGGCAAAAGTGGACAGGCTTTGCAGCACTCAGATTTCATACTACTCTGTACTTTAATTATGGCATAAAGAATATGTTTGATTCCTAAAGAAAATACATTAATTGGTCATCAGTAATACATGAGTGCATCTCTGCACACCAATAAACTATGTGGGTTTGGGATCAGCCCTACGGTTTACAGCACCCCAGGCAAGCTAAGGAGATGGCATCTCAGGTTTACAGTTGTACACTAGACAGGATGTCCGGCTGTGGGAGCATCTCATTAGCTCTCCCAAATCAATTAACTTTCCCAGCTAAGTTCCATACTGGGAAACACAGGTGTCTTTACATTAATGGGCAAAGGACAGACAACTGTGGAAGCAAAATGATCAGAAGTCATCATCAAATGAAAGGAAGGGAAACCATGATTGGTATGATAAGTCTGCAAAACTAATGGAAGTAGTTTCTGGACATGGTAGGTATTCTAGTAAATATGGAGCACTTTTTTTTGTTTGTTTGTTTTTTCATCATGGTTGCTTTTTACTGTAAGACTCCCTGACACTTTAAGAGCTATCTAAATGAATGACAGTGTGAGTCTTCTAAAATGTTATGTATTTCTTTCAAATTTTCTCAAAAAGATTTGGTTGCGTGTGAGTGCACATGATATACAATTACTTTCCTTAACTGTTTATCAGACCACTTGGGAAACAGGATAAGAGTTAAGGTATGGGCCAGCATTACAAAAAAAAGAGTGAAAAGAATGGGAGCTTACTCTAGCTTCTCTTATATTTAAAATGACAAACTATATTGGGAGAAACGAGAAAAGCAGACAAGGTCAAATTAATGCCTTAGGGCATTACATGACGTTCCATTAAGACATTTAAAGAGCTAAAATTCAAGTAGAATTGGACCAAGGATATATTCAGTTGGATAGACAAAATAATTTAGGTAGGAAGGTATCTCTGAAGGCCAATGGATCTTACCTCCTACTCAAAGCAGGGACAACCTGAAAATTTTATCAGGTTACTATAGTCCTGTCCAGTTAAGTTTTAAAAGTCTCCAGTAACAGGAACTATTCTACAAACCTCTGGGAAACTTGTTTCAGTGTCTGGCCAACAAACAGTACAAATCTGGTATACAACTACTGTATACCAAAGACACAACTGAAGCAATATCTTTATTCTGAGAAGAGTTCCCATTGTGTAACAATATGAACATTCCTTGGTGACCGAAAAGTCATTAACAGATGCTTTGAAGTATACACTTAATACTCAACCCTTCCAGCCAGATGGTGAATGCTAAAAAGAAAAAAATGAAGGGATAGAATACTCAGAAAACTAGCATACTATCTACCACTATAGACAATTTCCCCTATGCTCTTGCTCCCTGAATAGCCTCAAGTGAACATAATAGAATAAAAAGTAAGCGTCTAGTGATGAAGTGACTGAGGTACAGACGATCAGTAAGATACTATAGCAAAAACTAAGTATTACTACCATGCTATCTTCTGTTCTGTAAAGATCAGTTAAAAACTCCTCAGCAATAGGCAAAGTATGTATGTGTTTTAAAAAAAAATAAGTATATAATGACATTTGATGGGGGGAAAAAAAAAGCTGGAACAGAAATATGAACATAAAATCTTGTATCAGAACATGAGAAAAGCCAAACAAAATTTTGCAGAATACTGAATTTGAAATGCTGTCCAAGCTTATTATGTGTGATTTAAGCACAGTCAATGGCTTAGACACCTCTGGGAACACAGGCAGCGTTAAGGCACCTCTACACAACTCTTTGAATCACAATGAAACTTGGGTGGGAGTTACACGTCTGGCTGCTTAAGTGATGGTGCTTCTGAGCTTCCCTGGAACTTATATGCAGATGCTGGGGGAAATATGTTGTCCAAAATGATTCATTTTAGGTGCCACCAGGGGTTAGGTGGTGCTTGAGAGTAGGCAATTTGAATCACTCTCTGAGGCTCAGGCACCCAGTCTGACTAAATTGTACTTTAGGTGGAATTTAGAGTTTGATTTTCTCCCTCTGTCCATATTGTCAGTAGCATATAATAAAAAATGAAAGTTGATGAATGGAGCACTATGTTCTCAAAGTGAAGCACACCCTTGGTGGAAACTGCTGAAAACAATAGCAGGAATTGAAGCACATGAACTGAATACACAAGCTTGAGTTTACACACCCTAGTCTGCTGGATTGAGGTATACGATAAATTACAGAGATCCCAGCTGGCAGATTGAGGAGACCAAAGATAACAAGCAGGAAAATCCCTAACAATACAAGATTTTAGACTGTACATATATACATTACAAATCCAGACATTCAGGTATCTCTTAATGCTTCACACATTGAAGCATCAGGCAGATGCATCCAGAATGTTAGTGAATACACACTGACATTCCTTCAACAACTATGAGCCATTTTATCAAAGCATATGTACACTCAGATTTGCAAAGGCTTTTGTTGCATTCTCCTTTTTTACTGTATTAAATATAGCCAAAATTCTTCCTAAAAACAGGTGCTGTGGCCCAAGCACGGCACAGATTGTGCATTATGAGGTTACTAGAACAGCACTTACTGGAATTTTGCATGCACTTTACAACTGTATTTATGCATACCTTCTGCAGTTTGTAATGATCAAGTATAGACTGATTTTTGGCAAAATATTTTCTTATTCATTTCCTAAAAAGTTCTGAAAAAATTCTGAAATGAAGATACCAGCTGGTTCTCCTACTGCTACCATGCTAAAAGAAGTAATTATGAATGAATTAACTGTGTATTCACTGTGCTATAAACAGTTTTAGTTCTATCTTTGTAAAGCAGTATTGAGTTACCCATATCAAATTTAGTAAGGCAATCCTTTATTTACCTTTTGTTTTTATTTTTAAAAAAAGAACTAATGGAAAACCAGCATCTATTTTTAAATCTTATGAACACTAATTGTTCCATATCAAATGAGAATACACTACAGTATATGATAAACTTCCGTATTTACAAGTATCAATGAAGCCTCCAGCTTGCTGAATATCTTCCAAGAAGAGAAAGATGAGCCAACTTACATTTCCTGAGAGTGAAGTGAGAGATGTTTAGAGTTTATGGCAAGACATACCTTTTCCAGCTGACATATACCATTACCTGGTATATGTCACTTGTAACATGACAATGTTACAATAATTTGGTGGCCAGAGCTCAAGGAGTTAGTTTAAACAATTTTCCTATGGTGGATAATGATTTATTTAGTACTACGTTGATGGAGACACTGAAATCTTAACCTTTTCATGTTTGCTAAGGGATTTAACCAAGATTCATTATGAATAAAAAAGTAAAACTCGGGTGACCAAGTACAAAAATTCTCCACATTATTCTCAATATTTCTACATCAAAATATTGTATTTTTGATTCTCATTTTTTGCCTAACTTGACTGGTACAATGGGAGAAGGGGAAATAACTAACAAACAATTTAACAATCTCTGCCTATAAAGGGTATTTTAAATTCTTTTCAAAGAAAAGTTAAGA